ATTCTTTGCACCTGGAGGCAGACACCTTTCAAGCTCAGATACGCCCAAGGACACCTGTAGTCAGCCACTGCATTAGTCCCAGCTGGAGCCCTGGCAGCACAGGGCAGAATCCTATCCTCAGGTCCTTGGATGGGCATAGGGGCCAATAGGGCAGGGTGTTCAGGTCACTGCCTCTGAATCTCCCTCACAGCCTCATGCATGAAATTGGACAATACTTGATGTAGTATGGCAGGAAGCAGAAAGGCCTGAACACAGCACTGGCTCTGTCACTAATATGCTGTGGGACTGGAGCAAGCCACTTCTCTGAGCATCAGATCATTACTCTGTTTCTGTATGAACAAATGAACAGATACTTACTGAGCATTTGTCATGTACCAGAGCAAGGACTGGGACCTGGGATAGAGAAATCATTAAAATTTTGCCTTCAATGAACCTAGCATTAATGAGGGATAAATCAATCCTTCGTGAGGCCTCGTGAAGATCCAAACTCTTTGTGATCCATAACATGCTGTGCACACGGCAGCAGCAGATGACTCAGGTTCAGACCTGGAAGGCCTCTGTGACAACACCACAGTTCCTCCACTAGGGCTTTGATGCCACTGAACATAGTAGCTTGAATTTGGAGGAGGACATTCACTTATCTATTAATCTGAGCACTGATCATGTACCAGGCACACGGCTAGGTTCTGAAGTGGCCTTGGCTCAGGGAGCTTACGGTCTACAGTAGACACAGACATTCAACAAGTGACAAGTTCTGACATTCCCAGAAACTCCTGTTTTGGCTTGAAAGGTTGGGTAATTTATTTCAAGGTTCTCAATCTTGAATCTCAATAGATTCCAGATATAAACTCAGTCTTCTGACTTTCATTCAAGGTCCTTCTAGCTCATCCAACTGGCCCATGCAGGAGGCCAGGGTAAGACTCGCCGCTGCTCAGAGCAGGACGGCCGCGCTGCTCCAGGGAGGTCACATCTGAGAGGGCGTGCTAAGGGGTGAAGTAGTAGCAAGGGGAGGGGTTCTCATTATGGGGGGCATATGGATACATGCGGATACCTGTGACTCTGTGCGTGTTGGTGAGAGATGGAGGGGGAGAGGGAGAGAGAGAAAGAATAGCAAGCAGAAAAGCTGTCAGGGGGGCCCTAACTTCAGACCTCGCCTTTCTGGGGAGTTTAGCTTTGAATTATGGGGGAATTTAGCATTGCATCCAGCTCTTTTCCATTTGGGTTTCTTTTCCACAAGATGCACAAGATGTTTACCCAGCACACGTGACAGAGACCTCCTATTACCTAGAGTAGCACTTGCCATTGATGGAAAATACTCCTCCCTTCTCTCCCTTTTCCACATTCATTCTCTGAGCAGTAGCCCCTATGCTAGATTAATAAAGAAAAAGAGGGCATGTTCTCCATCCTTAAGGAGCCCACTGATGCTTGAGGGTCTCAGATAAGTATCCTGACAATGACAATGACAAAGCAATGTGGCAAGTGCTGTGTGTGGGCACAGTACGACCCTGTGCTTATGTCTGTGGCAGCAGCTGACACAGAGCCCTCGGGGAGGCCATCCCCGAGGAGGTGATCCTGGGCTGAGTCTTGAAGGATGCGTGTGTGTTAGCAAAACGGAGGGGAAGGAAATTTCAGGCAGAGAACACTGGATGTAAAGGCATGAAGTCGGAAAACAGTAAGACCAGTCCCACCCACCCGTAGCCACGGAGGGAATAGAGGGCTCAGCCTCACTCCTTTCTTTCTCAGTGTGTGGATGAGTTGTTCATTGATTGGTCAGATTCTGAGACAGAGATAAACTAGTAAACATGACAGGGGGATCACTCACGGGAGTGCGGCTCCCTGCTTTGTCCTCCTAGTGAAAGAAGCAGGAGGGAACCAGCCTGCAGGGAGAAGATCCAGCCCCTCCCTCTCTCCTCTCAGGCTAAGTACTGTCATCCCATGTGACTGACTGGCTGGTTGTAGGATCCCAAGATTTGAGTCTGGGCTTAAGAGATTAAGAAAAAGCTCCAGAAAACTCCACTTGGAGGCTTTGGGTACAGGCCTGGTCATTAAGACAGTCTGATTTTTCCTGTGTAAGGGCGCCTGGGCAATCCTGGATCCCTTGGTCTGAATCCAAGTGTACCCCATGATTTCTCCTGACACTGTCTTTCCTGACTGGCATTAGCCTCCTCCAGAAAGGCCCTTTCCTTCACTGATCTCTTTTCTCTGCTGGATTCACCAGCTCCCACCCCTGCTCAAGCCAGCCTCTGTAGCCTTCTTTTGCCAGTCCTCCTACCTCATTCCTCTGTGTGTGTGTGTGTGTGTGTGTGCACGTGCGTGCGTGTGCGTGTGTGTGTGGCTGGCTGGTTCAGCAATCTGAACCCTTGACAGTGGTATTATAACACTGCACTCTAACAACTGAGCTACCCAGCCAGCCCTCATTCTACTTTGTGTTCAGATCATACTACAGCTTGCAGAAGCGCTCACGTCATTTTCACTCCTGTGTTGCTCACAGCATTGAGCCCATTGGGGTAAATGCTCAAAGGTCATTGGGTTAGACTTTTCCTGATAGTGAAACAGGAATTAATGTCAGTGTTGCTTGCTGTGGGCCTTGGGCTGATGTGACTTGTTCATTCATACCTCCAGCCAATATTGACTGAGGGGCAGGAAAGCAGCAATCCTCCACGGTCACAAAGTACCTGTCCTCATGGAGCTTATGGTCCCATTGAATCCTCCATGATCTTTAGAGTTTGTTTTCATTAATCCAAAATTGACCAAACAGGAAACGGGGACTCTGGCCAGGGAAGGCCACCAAGAGTACAGGTGAGGATGGTGGCGTGAGAGGCAGGTGTCCTGGGGAGTGGCTATCCCCCGGTGCTTCCTGTCTGGACTCCCAGCATGTTGCCATCAGAGCCAACGTGTGTCATCGCCTTTTCCTGCACCTGCAGCCGCCCTCTTACCACTGTGGCAGTGTTTCTAGGACCTGGTGAGAGACAGCTGCGGACAAAGCCAGGCCAGCTACAGGAAAGCCTTTTTTCCTCTCTAAAATGATCTATCTTGAAATGTGTGATGCTCTCTCTACATGGCCATAGATAGAGGTTCCCTCCCTCTTAATAATCCTTTTAGAGAAAAATCAGCAACACCTGCATGATTTGTGATTAGCAGGGGAAGAACCACTTTTTCCATCATCCTGGCATTTGGGAGACGAGCAAGTCAGAGGACCAGTGTTATGTGCTGCCTCCAGACACCTTCCACCTGGCAGGTGCGCCCTCCAGGGCAGCGGGCCCGGGGGAGGAGGGCTGCTGCCCCGCCCCCACTCTGTCACTAAAGACCTGCTTCATTCCCACACTGATTTGCTCCACAAACACACACTGAGCCTCTCCTCAGTGCCAGACCCCAGCTGGGTGCTAAGGGAACAGGAGACACTGCCCCATCCTCAAAGATGTCCCCAGCTGTGGTCTAATGGGAAAGACAATCTCCTCACAGAGCTTGAGAAGTGGGTGGATTTTCACTGGGGGAAGATGGGGAAGGCATTCCAGGCAGAGGCCACAGCATGGGCAAAGGGGTGGAGGTGTGGAAGAGCAGCTGAGTTTCACGGAAGGTGAGGAGTGAGCTGTGGGTGGAGGGGACATTTTCTCAGAGGAACTGTGACTAGGAAGGTAGGCAGGAGCCACTTAGGGAGGGCTTGAATGAGGACAGGGAGACATTGAAATATTACAGACTCATGATCCCTGCTTCACCCAGGACTCACGTGGGGAAATGTGTGGAATCTTCAAAGACATGGGTAAAGCCAGGCATTTATAGCAGACAGTAAAATGTTTCTCTTTCTTTCTCTTTTCCTTCCTTCCTTCCTTCCTTCCTTCCTTCCTTCCTTCCTTCCTTCCTTCCTTCCTTCCTTCCTTCCTCCCCCACTTCTTTCTTTCCCCCCTTTGTTCCTTTTTAAAAAAAAAATAATAAATTTTTGGTCTATTTATTCTCAAAGCTAAGAGATGTGTCTCACTGATCTCACTCCCAGGTAATGAGGATGCAGAAGGAGGCTAAATTATTTAGGAATTAGAATCACACGATTTACAATCCCAGCTTTACCTCTTCAAAATTAACACCTTCTCTGTTCTGGGCACTGTGTTGAGCATTTTTACCAACTTTGCCTCTAATCCTCACAGCTTACAGCACGGACTAAAATAACAACAGCAACAAGGAGAGCAGCAGCACATGGGCATCATTTGCTTGCTGAGTACTTATTGTGTTCTAAGCACTATGAGAAGAACTTTACAGCTCTCTTGTTGAAGCAGATACTGTTATCGTGCCAGTTGTAAAGATGAAGAGACAGGCTGAGGGGGCCAGTGTGTGGAAGAGCTTCTCTGATTCCAAACCCATCCCGTCCAAACCACCACCCTGCTTCCCAGCATGCCAGTCCCCTTCTCTGTGTAGGGGACAAAGCCCCTTCCCCACTGCTGTACAGAGGTGGTGTGAAGGTTAGGTGAGGCGTTATTCTGCAAATTGCAAAATACATACAAATACGTATCTGTCAAGTATGATATGATCAATAAACTTTATGATTACAGTTAGAAAAAACAGTATTAATAAACTAACCCAGCTTTATTTTTTTATCAAAAACAAATCTTTAGTGGAGGGAAGAAGACACAACCTGCACAACGATTCCTTGAACTCTTTAAGACAAGTGAACAGATATGATTTAGGCGGGGAGGGGAGAGAGGAAGGGGGGAAGAGGAACAGATAAAGAGTCATGAAAATCAACTACAATGTATATTGAGAAGTTAGATTAAAACAAAAAAAGAAAAAACCCCAAATCTTTAGGTTTATTTGTTTTGTTTACTAGATGCCTAAGTCAAAGATTTCTTTGTACCCTAAAACAATTTGGAAATGAGGCAATAACTTAGCTGAGTTTTTAACCTTTCATTAACATATCCTTTAATTAAAGATTTCTTATATGGTTTGTTGATTTCTAGAAAAGACAAGCACAGATATGCCCAGTTAGTCTTGGGGACAGCATTTTCACTTACAAAGGAAGTGGCTCCGACTGCACTCATCGTATCCAGGTGTCTCCAGGACTCCGAGGACCCGGGAGGGGACCTACGTCTGTCTTCTCCAGAGCAACTTACAAAGCGCACTTCTCATCTCTTGGGTGGGGGCGCAGGAGCCAGGCTGGGCCTGCAGACAGGAGCTGCGGGCAGGGGCACGCTCTGCTGCTTCTCAGAGCCTTTCCTGGACGTCAGAAGGATGGAAAAATGGCCTCTTCTAGTAAACACAGATGGCTTGGGTACATCCCTGAGTTTTTACCTTAAAAGGCTAAAGAGTGAGCCAGACCTTGTTAGACACGTGGGGAGTCTCCCGGGCTCGGGGACCTGGCTGCCCTCTGACGGAGGAGAAGCCCCTTCCCGGGCCTGGCTGGTCTCCCGGCAGTTCTGCTCTGTCTCCCTCCCACACCTCCCCCAGCTCCACCACACCTTCCTCAAGCCCTGCCACCCCACTCCTTGCCCTGAGAAAGGCCGAGGTACTTAGGCTTCTCCCCTCTTCTCCCCTCTCAGCTCTGCGCCTGTCATCGAATTACTATGTAGACCTCTGTGAGTCTTGGTGTCTCACTGGGAAAACTGGCAGCCATCCTGCAAGGAAGATCCCGGAGCTCAGGGAGGAACTCTGTTCTGTGTAAGGTAGTAGTCAGAGCCTGTCCGGGGAGGGCTCAGAAAAGCTTACGACTTCCAGCTTCTGCTCTTTCCCTCCTAAATCATAGGGAGAGGGGGTCCTTCATCACACCTGACCTCCAAGTCTGCCTCTTCCACTCTCTTCTAGGGCATTCTTTATTTCATACTATCCTCCTACCCATCAGGCTGGGAAGATCATTGAACTACCTATCTGTTGCAATGTAACAAATTACCCCAAGACACAGTGGTTTAAGGAACAAGCTGGTATTACAATGTAAACTATGGCCCTTGATAAGAATGCTGTGTCAGTGTAGGTTCATCAATTTCTGAGGGTGAGGAAGCTGCGAGGGGGCTTATTGGGGTGGTCTGGCTCAGGGTCTCTCATGAGGCTGCAGTCATCTGGGATTGGGTTGTCAGCTTCCAAGCTCAGGCTCACTCGGGGGGCTGGGGGTTGGGGCTATCGGCAGGAGGGTTTGGCTCCTCTCTTGTGGGCCTCATCATATGGCTGCTCATGACATGGCTGCTGGCTTCCCCCAGAGTTACTGATGACAGAGAGAGTGCCACCAAAAAGGAAGCAAGCCACAGTGTCTTGGAAGTGATATACCATCACTTCTGCCATATTCTGTTGGCCACATACCAAACCTGGTGCTATGTGGCAGGGGACTACACAAGGCTGTGAATATCAGGAGGTGAGGATCATGGTGGCCATCTGGGAGGCTAGCTACCATAGTCACCCAGATAGTGAATGGCAGAAATGGCAGAGTGTCTGTTTGTGCACAGTCCGTGAGCATGCCGGTCACTGTGTGCAGAAATGAAGAGACACAATGTCTGGCAATGTGCTCTATAGATATTTGATGTAGTCACCCAGATAGTGAATGGCAGAAATGGCAGAGTGTCTGTTTGTGCACAGTCCGTGAGCATGCCAGTCACTGTGTGCAGAAATGAAGAGACACAATGTCTGGCAATGTGCTCTATAGATATTTGATGAATGAATAAAAGATCGGTTTTCCTAAAATAGTTCTTGTTTGTTTTTTTGCTACTGAAACGGTCAGCTTTGTCTAATGGGTTAAATACACATTTCTGATCCAGACATTTATGATCTTTCTCTATGTAGTCCTAGCCTCCAATTTCAGTTTCCAAACTCAAGCTTTTTGCTTATGTCAGAGTTTCTGCCTGGGCTGCCCTTGAAGTTTTGAAATACAGCTCCTCTTCAAGGTCTGGCTAATTAATACTGTCCTCCTTTGTGCCTGTGTGTCCTTGCTCTCAGTAGCAGCTTCTGTGGGCCCTGAGGCTGATGCATTTTCTTACTCAGGCATCCTATTGACCTTTACTGAGCATATGGTCAGTGCTCAGCAACTTTGGCTGGAAAGACATCTTTCTGAAGAGACTGGCAGTGTATTTCTGACTATGCCTTACATGGTTTTGTCTAATATAGCTTTTCTTGTGTCTCAAGAGAACAAAGGCCATTTTAATTTTAAACACTCTCATAAAGCACTTGGCATCGAGCAATGACTGTCCATTCCATTGGATGAAGTTAATCACAAATTCTTTCTCTTTCTCCAGTTCATGGGTGACATAGGCAAAATTTATTCAGCTGCAGCCTTCCTAAACTGGTAGAATTAATATTTTTGACTCCATAAGTGAATTATTCTTATAAACATCAGAGTCAAAGACTTTCCACACAGACCCAGTGAAGTATTTGTCCAAATATCTACCCTGCCTCGTAATCAGTAAAATGTTCTACATTTAGATGCTTTCAGGAGCCATATGTTTTATGATATCAAGGTAGAAGCAAATAGATCCTTGCAATGGAAAAGTTTAACAGGTTTTAAAATTAGAAAGTCTTAGATTCAAATTTCAAATGCTTTCTAGCTGGCCTCTTTGATCAAACCCCTTATCCCCATTTTACCAAAAGTAAAACTGAAGTTTGAAGACAGATAAATGTCAGTGCAGAACTGCATAGAGTAGGAACACAATATTCGTATATGTAAATGCCCTTGTGACTTGATTGTCTCGGGCTTCAGTTTCCTCTTTTATAAAATAGGAATTATATGTACATATACTACATACATGTGTCACTTTAAACACTAAGCCTGTTTGCTTCTCTGTAAAATGGAGATTATCTGTGCTCTGTCCATCTGTTTGATCCTCACAACTCTGTGAGGTAAAGTAAGTGAAGCCTCTTTGTGGAGAACTTTCTTCTTGATAATACCAATCATTAGTAGACTCTAATCATGATTTATGGGGACGAATCACGTTCTGGGTTCGAATCCTGACTGGCTCAAATCGCTTATTAATTATGGGGAAAATTAGCTAATTCCAGAACTTCTTTGATTCTTGGTTTCCTCCTCTGTGAAATGGGGGTTCCTCCATTGCAGGATCATTGTGAGGATTAACTGGGGTCCTGTCTGGAAGGGTACCTGGCACACGGCACTTTCAGTCATAGCCCTCCACCCTCAGGCGTTAGTGCTTTGCCTGGTACCAGGGAGAATGTGCAAGGTGGATGAGTGAGTCTTCCCTAGAGGTAAGTGTAACAGTTTCTTGTTCCAAAATCTTCAATTAGCAAATGGCTCTACCTTAACAAAATGACAGATAACAGGAGGGAAAGGAGTGTTTGAATGCTTAGATGCCTGTTCTCTCAGATGTCACAGTGTTGACAAGAACTACTTTTATGCCCCGATTGTCCTGGAGAAGAAAAACATAAAAGCTTTATTTGTGGTTTTAATTCTCATTCCAGTGAGGAACAGTGGGTTCTTTCTCCAGTTGTTCTGTCCTTACTGGAGAGGAGCCCGGGGACATATTTCACAGCTAAAGCAACTGCATTTCTTCAAATTCAGATTTAAGCCTTAAGCAAAATGAATCACTATCTCTTACAGTTAAGACTTTCCTAACATAAGTCCACTTTCCCAATAAAACTTCACTTCAAAGAAGGATTAGTTTATCCAACAAGTATTTATTTAGCACCTACTACATACCAGATGTTGTTTTGGCAGCTTGGAGAGATAGATCGGGGCATAAGAGAGGTAGCTATAACAGGGTGGTGTGGTGGAAATGGCCTTAGTTCTGGTGTTAGGAAACCTGGATTCACCTCCTGGCCTTTGAACTTGATTTCTGTGCAACCTCTTTGAATCTGGGATATAACAAACTCCTTTTCCTAGGATGGTTCTGAGGCATGTGGTATGCTGGCTAGAGGTCTTGGGTTCAGACAGATCTGGGGTAGAATCCCAGCTTTGCCACTTACTGTCATGTGGCCTTGGGTAAGTCAAGTCACTTCTTTGAGCCTCAGTTTCCTCATCTGTAATAATGCATCTGTTGAAAGACCACTGGGACGGCTCAGAACTAATAATAAGGCATCTGTTGCAATAAGAAATAATAAGGCATCTGTTGAAAGACCACTGGGACGGCTCAGAACTAAGAGTAGCAAATGAAAGCACTTTGTGAAGTTCAAGGCAGGGAGACAACTTTTCCAGGCCAAATTGGAATCCATTCTGAACCTCTTAGCTCTTCTTAAGGTTAATTCTTTCATTTATTTCCCGATTAGACCTGCCTGAAGCAGACTACAAGGGACTGGAATCTTTGTATTCATTCTTTCCATTACTCTGTAAAACAGATCCTTGGCTGTTAAAACCCAAAGTGAACCTGAAGTGACGTATCAAGGTACCTTCTGCAGCCTGCTCGCCCCTGCTGTGGGTTGGCTCCCCCTTGGTGGTGGCCCTCTTCTGGCTTTGTCCTGCATGTGCAGTCCTGTGCTTTATGTGACTCAGGACACCACTGTCTCTCCTCTCCCAACGCTTGCTGTCAGGTTATTTTAGGGACACCATGTTTCTCAGGGGTGTTCCCTCTAGATGGGGCCAGAGTTTTCATTGTTTGGCGCATCCCGCACTTGCAAATACATCTACCGAATCCTGGCATTCTGAGCTTGTGGGTAGTCTGGAGCCGGCCCATCGGCTCTTCTGGGCAGAGTGCTGTGAGTCAAGAGTGGAAAGTTAGAGTAGCTGGTGTCCTGGATCTGAGTGTCCCCATTCTGCCCCCTTAGAGAGGGTGGAGGCCTCTCTAAAGCTCTGCAAAAAATTTTTCCATAGGGTGGGATATAGCAGGGTACACCCATGGAGCCCAAACCTGCCCTGGAGTCTGGCTGGGGGCAGAAGCAATGACGTGGTGATCTTCTCAGGCTCTCTGTGTATGGATCTTTTCTGAGGAGCAGCAGAGGGCAGAGGGAGTCAATGTGGGCTGGATGCCTTACAAAGAGGCTGAAGGTGTTGGGGAGGGTGAAGGGATAGTGTGGAATCTGTGTCCCTGCTCTCTGGGAAACTGGGACACGCTAGTGGATATTTGTAAAATGTGAAATTGAGTTGTTTTTTTTTTCCTTTTTGTCTTTTTTCGTGACCGGCAACGGATCGCAACCCTCAGTGTCGTGCCCGTACCGGACCGGGACTGGCAACGGGATCGCAACCCTCGGCGTTGTGCCCGCACCTTGCTCAGCCAGTGAGCGGCCGGTCTGTATGTGAGATCCGAACCCTCGGCAGGAGCGCCGCCGTGCTCCGAAGCGGCACACTGTAGCAGTGCACCACCGGGTCGGCCCCATGAAATTGAGTTTTGATTCACTGATACAATAGGGAGGGACATTTCTTGTCGTTAACCTCTGGTTATCATGAGCTTTCATG